ATGTGTATTAGCTTAGTGGGGGGGGGGGGGGGGTGTCTCCAGCAGCCCTCCCTCATGATGGGACTTGTCTGCTGGTGTGAAGTTTGAATACCTGTGTGTCTCTTGTTACTAAATGTAGACCCCTGAGTGTATATATCTTGTATCTGTGCTCAAATAAAGTGTCTACCTCCTGGTTTACCTCGAGACTGGTGTCATTAAGTCTTGTACAGTCAGCTGTGGTGTCTGTTGTCGGTGTTCGGTCGGGGAAGCGGTATTCTAATGGAAGTACTCAAGCGCAGTCTGGGTCAGTTCTGTTACAAAGATGAAAAAAAAAGTAGTCGATATGGCTGTAGGAATTGTGAATGACTGAAAAACAGCTGTAATCCCTCTCTGTGAGGTGCTGAACACGCCAGACATCCACTAATTGCATATGCTGTAAGAGTGATTTAACGTGGGCTAGTGTGGAGCAGAAGACAGAGGACTTATCAGAGGAAGTATCCGTGGCAGGGGATGGGGCCACATTTAAGTTACTGCCCACAATGAAATAGGGACTGCTGAATGAGGATAGCTTGGTGAGGGTTGCGGAAAGAAAGTGCCCCTGGTCAGGTACGTAAACATTTGCCACTGTAAAGACAAAATTCTGGTACTTTAATTTAAGACAAATATAGCAACCAGAAGGATCTATGAAAGCATCCAAGAACCCCGGAGTGAAAGATTTGTAAAAGGCCACTGACACCCCCCCTAGATCTAGCCTGTGCCAAGGAAGTTGGGTAAATCCCCAAGAGTGCGAGACTGTGCAGTCTTGCCATTGTGGGAGGCTCGGAGTTGAAAAGAGAATCTCCACCAGTACCTGATGTGGCAATCTTGAAGTAGTTGCGTGAGTGGCTTTAAGGCCCTTCGCATATTCAGGGTCTGGCGAGAGAGGTCTGGAAGGCGCATTAAAGAGTATGGTGCCTTGCGTACTGTTTGTGCACATGATGGCATTTTTGACCTTGTAATAATGAACTCTGCATAGCGTGTCACGCACGCGTGAGGGGTCAGGATTTCCTGGGCCCAAGGTTCTATGTACCCGATACAAGTCAATGGGTGCATATTTGGGCTGCTGTATTAGTTAACTGAAAATAGCAGTAGCTGCTGCTGCTAAATCCTTAGGTTCCACTGATTCCAGAATGCCGCGGATTTTGATATTATTGCGACAGTTCCTATTTTCTATGTCATCTTGTTGGTACATAAGTTGCTGTAATAGTACCGTGTGAGAGATAAGAGTCTCCTCATGGGATTGCAAGGTGTTACAAAGTCCATCAGAAGTGTTTTCAATTTCTTCCATGCAGACACATATATCTTTCTAAATTTCTGATATCTCCTGTTTGTATGTCTTTTCAATGCATTTTACACAGTGCTCAAAATCATCCTTAGTAGACAGGGATTTAATGTAGGAATGCAGAGATCTGATGTGGGACTGCAGGTCCCAGCCATCCCCGGAACACAGAGAGGGAGAGGCTGCGGGAGCGCTGAGACAGTCTATCTGAGCCTCCCGGGGAGAAGAGGAGGCTGCGGGAGCTCACCTGTAAGCCGGCTGAAGGCCGTTCCAGGAGGAGGCGCAGCATCATCTTGCCGGATGGGGTATGCGAGGCTGCGGATCCCGTGAAGAAGCGGCCCAGGTTGCCTCCAGAGTGCCCCCTCCAGACTTCTTGGAGCCCCTGTGCTGGTTCTTGCCCATGTGTGGGGTTCAGAAATCAATTGCGAGGGTAAAAAGCCTTGCAGGAGATACTAGGACCGGGAGCTACTGAGGAACACGTCCTACAGGTCCATGTGCCAAGCCACGCCCCAAGCTTGCTTATGCATTAGACAATGCAACTTAAACTTTTTGGGTGAGTAAAGGTTAAAACACTCCTACAGTATGTTTGCATTTAAAGAGACATTCCCTGTCTGTCGCTGGGAATGTCGATTAAGGCAATACACCTCATTCCCCTAACTGGGGCCACAGATGGAAATAAAATGTGTCATTAAAGCCCACATCATTCAAAACTGTCAGTAAATGCTGTATTACATGCTGTTCTTAGTCAGTCATTATTGGATTAATTTTCTGTGTTCTGCCAAAAACCTGGTTGATCCTTCTGTCCACTGTCCCTCCCTCCTTAACTATGTCCCCGCTGCAGCCTGAGATTATGTAGACTAGCCGTTGCCACATCCACCGAGTATGCTCTAGTTTCAATTCCCATCTAAGCTGTTCATTTTCTTATCTGTGCAGCCCACATGACGATCAAGTCACATATGTGGGCGTATACATAGGGATGAATGAAAACCCACTCCTTCCCTCCTCCTAGCCCACTAAACAGCTAAACATTACAGGGGCAGTATATTACATGTTGATTTATGGAGGTTTCACCTCCTTGAAATTCTAAGCACATAAACACCAAAGACAAGCTGGAGGTGCATGAAACAGGTCATTATAGGCAGAACCTCCCCTCTGTGGTGGCCCAGACCATGATTTTGCACAAAAATAATAAAGATTTGAGTTCAAATACATATTTTATGTTGACTTAAAACATTTATTTGATATTATCTTATTTGTCCTCTATTCCGAAGGCTTTTTTTTAACATGTGAATGGCAGCAGAGGACTAGAAGTTCCTCTCGCTGTATTATGAAAAAAAGGCACTTGGAGGTTTTTGTTTTTAATCCCTCTCTAAGATTGTAAGCTCTAACGAGCACGGCCCTCCGATTCCTCTTGTACCAAATTGTATTGTAACGGTCATGTCTGCCATAATTTTGTAAAGAGCTGCGCAAACTGTTGCCGCTATATAAATCCTCTATAATAATAATTAAAATAAATGCAGTGCCAGCATCCATATGCATAAATAGAGGGATAATGTAAAACTTTAATATTTCTTGTTACCCTTCCCAACTCTAGCAAAAAATATATTTTGATGAAACTTAAAACATTAAGTTTCATCAAAATATATTTTTTGCTAGAGTTGGGAAGGGTAACAAGAAATATTAAAGTTTTACATTATCCCTCTATTTATGTATACCATTACACTTAAGTCATTTAAACTGAAGATATGATTCAACTGCATATTTAAAAGTGCCTTTTCTTTCTTTTAGTACATGGTGGTTTCTTGACCAATAGGAAGGTTTGGGATAGAGAGGGGCTAGACCAGGGGTCTGCAACTTTTAAGACATAAAGAGCCACTTGGACCCGTTTCCGAAGGGAAAAAAAAGACTGGGAGCCGCAAAACCATTGCAACATTTAAAACAAATCCCGACACTGCATATATTGTTTCTTACCTTAATGCTATATACAGGATCGTGCAGTTAGCTTCATCCCCCATATAGTAATTCATCCCCCATAGTAATTCATCCCCCCTATAGTAATTCATCCCCCATAGTAATTCATCCCCCATATAGTAATTCATCCCCCCTATAGTAATTCATCCCCCCTATAGTAATTCATCCTCCATAGTAATTCATCCCCCATAGTAATTCATCCTCCATATAGTAATTCATCCTCCATAGTAATTCATCCCCCATATAGTAATTCATCCCCCATAGTAATTCATCCCCCATATAGTAATTCATCCCCTAGTAATTAATCCTCCATATAATAATTCATCCCCCATAGTAATTCATCCCCCCTATAGTAATTAATTCCCCATATTGTCTCAATTCACTTACCTTTGCTCCGCGCGTTCCTCTCGCTGTGTTCCGGTCTTCAGGGCGGACTGTGAGAGGAGTTTGTCACGCTGCCCCGCCTACATCCTGGCTGCCCCGCCTACATCCTGACAGCTAATGTTCCACGCTCCGCGGGCCGGATTAAAAGAGTCCTGACTTTTGAGGCGGCCGCCCGAGAGGAGGGAGGGGGGGAGCGGGCGCCCGGCACACAGAAGAGCCGCATGTGGCTTGCGATCCGCGGCTTGCCGACCACTGAAACCCTATTGCCTGTCACCTGGTGGGCAGTGTGCTCCGGAGCCGCAGCAAAGATGAAAAAGAGCCACATGCGGCTCTGGAGCCGCGGGTTGCCGACACCCGGGCTAGACAAAAACATCAAAGGAATTTGTTTAGCTGCCTAAGTCTGGATCTAAATAGTCTTGGCATACTATTGCCACCGAAGGTAACCTGTGTATAAATCTTTATATTTTGGTTACTAATGCATAACATTCCATATCTGGCTCTTGGCTGGGAAGAGCACCTAGACACTCAAGGTCTGTGTGTATTTTTCTGGCATATGACAGATCATAATTGATGCCCTTCCTTTATTTAGATTTGGTAACTTGTACTATAGCAGACTTTAACTTTGCCCCATTCAGTGGAGTTTTAATAGCTATAGATGTTTCTTTCTTATAATTGAAACTAATACCTGCAGTTTTTTTTTTCATTCAACCGAGTGGACTTGTTACACGAAGATCTTTCCCACTGTCCCTTTGTGTTCTGACAGGAGGACTAACCCCTTCCCCCCTCAAAATCACTAACCAGCATTCGCAGCCTTTGGCCGCCAGCTCTGATCTTATGCTGGTCTTCCAGCATGTCCCTTCGGCAAAAGTTAGTTTTTAGCCCGGTTTTTGTCGGAAGGGCAGCTGTACACATGGTTCTAATATTCGGACCATGTGTACCAAGCTTTAAAGATCTCCTTGTGTTCTGTCAAATGAGCATACCTGGAAACTTGGTTACAAGGGGCTTATATGTCTTGACACCAACCACAGCATTTAATCCAAAACTCAATATGGGGATAACAATCTGCGCTGTGTGGCCCTGCTGGGAGCTGCAGTCTATCAGTTACAAGTGATACCACTATGTGTCTATATACTACCACACTAAAAGGGGAAAAAAAATTACACACACAAAAGACAAATAAAGTGCTTTATTGTTCTGGGTTTACATTTTTTTACAGTGCTAGAACCAGGTATTTTTGCTACTAAAAAATACAGATCTCTCTAACCGAACATTTTTAATACAGATCATTGAAACAAAATGTTTTTATCCCCATGCAGAAATGTCTGGAAGAATGTATGCATAAAATGTTCTACAAATCTATCAGGGTCCGGATTTCATTAATGCGGGCTTGTTTTATTTCACTGGAAGTTGGCTTATATTATTTCCTCCAAATGCCCCTGCAGCTAGTTCTCTCTTCTTGTTCTGAATTTTTAGCATATTTTCTTCCACGGAATCCTTAACAACAAACTGAAAAGAGATGAACTGGGTTAGTAAGTATACTTGAAGGGTTTATCAAATCATAGCAATTTATACCTAAAAAAAAAACCTCCTGTAACAGTTCCATATACAGTTGTGTTCAAAATAATAGCAGTGTGTTGAAAAAAGTGAATAAAGCTCAAAATCCTTCTAATAACTTTTATTTCCATACACACAAATGCATTGGGAACACTACACATTCTATTCCAAATCAAAACATGAAAAAAAATAGATCAAATTTGTGTTGTTCCTCTACAAAACACTGCTATTTTTTTGAACAGTCTAATATTCACTTTTCTTCAATTTTTTTATTCTTTTTTACAAACTCAAACATTCACTATATAAACTGAAAAATGTTTGAAGATTTTGCTTTCCTTTGAATCACTTAATAATATTTAGTTGTATAAGCACTGTTTCTGAGAACTGCTGTACATCTGTGTTGCATGGAGTCAACCAACTTCTGGCACCTGGGAACAGATATTCCAGCCCAGGATGATTGGACTACATTCCACAGTTCTTCTCTATTTCTTGGTTTTGCCTCAGAAACTGCATTTTTGATGTAACCCCACAAGTTTTCTATTGGATTAAGATCCGGGGATTGGGCTGGCCACTCCATAACGTCAATCTTGTTGGTCTGGAACTAAGATGTTGTACATTTACTGGTGTGTTTGGGGTTGTTGTCTTGATGGAACACCCATTTCAAGGGCATTTCCTCTTCAGCATAAGGCAGCATGACCTCTTCAAGTATTCTGATGTATGCAAACTGATCCATGATCCCTGGTATGCGATAAATAGGCCCAACACCGTAGTATGAGAAACATCCCCATATCATGATGCTTGCGCAACCATGCTTCACTGTCTTCACAGTGTACTGTGGCTTGAATTCAGTGTTTGGGGGTCGTCTGACAAACTGTCTCTGGCCACTAGACCTAAAAAGAACAATCTTACTTTCATCAGTCCACAAAATGTTTTGCCATTTCTCTTTAGGCCAGTCAATGTGCTCTTTAGCAAATTGTAACCTCTTCAGCACGTCTTTTTTTCAACAGTGGGACTTTGCGGGGGCTTCTTGCAAATAGTTTGGCTTCACATAGGCGTCTTCTAATTGTAACAGTACTCACAGGTAACTTTAGACCTTCTTTGATCTTCCTGGAGCTGATTGTTGGCTGAGTCCTTGCCATTTTGGCTATTCTTCTATCCATTCGAATGGTAGTTTTTCGCTTTCTTCCACGTCTTTCAGGTTTTGGTTGCCATTTTAAAGCATTTGCGATCATTTTAGCTGAGCAGCCTATCATTTTCTGCACTTCTTTATATGTTTTCCCCTCTCCAATCAACTTTTCAATCAAGGTACACTGTTCTTCTGAACAATGTCTGGAACGACCCATTTTCCTCAGAATTTCAGAGAGAAATGCACTGTAACCAGCATGTACAACATTTGCTGCCTTCCTTCCTTAAATAAGGGCAATAATTGCCACCTGTTTTTCAAAGAATGAATGACCTCACTAATAGAACTCCACACTGCTATTATTTTGAACATGCCCCTTTCAATTAGTGATTCAATTACACAGAATCAGCAGCATGCATGTCATGACTGTTGGGTCTGTAGGATTTCTATTACTCTACTACACCTGCTAGTAAATTATTTGCCATGTAGAAATAACATTTCTACCAAAAACAGTGATTGATCAGGTTAGTGATGTCTGACTGCTATTATTTTGAACACAACTGTAGATATGTGAAATTAAATAATGGGTGTTATTTACTAAAATTTGAGTGTCAAAATTTGGTGCATCTTCCAGACAGAAACCAGGCTTTATTGTCTGGTGCAGCTTCCAGGTTTTATTGTCAAAGCTTACTTGAAGAAGCTGAAGTTAGAAGATGACTGGATGCCATGCACAACTGCACCAGCTTCTGAATGCACCAATTTTAGTAAATCTCCCCCAATATGAGCAAAATAAAACATACAGAACATCTATGCAATGCATGCATGTTTCCCAGTTTTATTGTCAGTTGAAAGAAAAAACACTTGTAGAGGGGAGGGGTATGTGAAAGCGATTGGGCGGCAGCTTTTCGGGAGTGTGTGTAAAACCCCCTGCTGTCGCCGACATACAGCAGTGGTGGTAAAAGGGTTAAAGTCTTTTGGCCAGTCGGACATGGGTTCACAAAGTAAAGTCACAGCTAGAATTTGGTGCAGGGGGGGATCGGCCTGAGAGAACAGCTCTGGAAAAGGCTTCCAACCAGTTATCGGTTTGTGCCCTTTAGAGCAAATGCAGAAGTTTCCACCAGACAGTTGGATCTACAGTGGGAATGGACCAAAATCCTCACAAAATGGATGCAAAGCCAGTAAAGTGCTTAGGTAGAGTGAGCAACTTTTTAGCAAGCCTAAAATTTCCAAAATGAAACAGCAGCAGCCTAAAATTGCCTCAATGACCCAAAGCTGGAAACTGCACTGGTGGAAGCAACAAGCTGATCCTCTAGCTTCACAATCATCTGCACTGCATCAATAAGAGTCAAAACAGTCTTTTGGGAGTATTAGCAATAGACTTCAGCCCCATACACACAGGCCGATTTTCGGCCAAAGTTAAGCATTACAGTAGACACCGGCCGTAGTTTTTGGCCGTGTGTACAGTTGCTTGTCCGACAGAAGCCGATCTCGCGACAGACTTCAGCATGCTGGATAACCAGCAGCTGATTAGCATCCTATCAGCGCTTGCAGCCAAGACATCAATAAGATCTGGGGTCTTATTGTACATCCTCTGCCATTGAAAAGCATTTGATCACACCAATCTTGGTGTGATAAAATGCTTTTATTGTTAAAAATGGCCCCATTCACCTCCCAAAAATCCTATACCTATTTAGAGTCCTCCCAGTCCCAGTCCCCCCTCACTACCTCCGCACATTGCAGCGTCGCATCTTTTCCTACGTATGGGGCAATACTCACCCTCGTATACCTCGCTCCACCCTATATTGCCCTAAGCTTAATGGAGGTCTCGGCCTACCTGACATTAGAAAGTACTATCAAGCAGCGCATTTAGCTCAGTTGCCTAAGTATCATGCAACCTCTGAAATCCCTCAATGGGTTGCCCTCGAATCGATAGAGTGCGACCCCCTATCTACAGCTAACTTGCTCTGGTTGAGGCCAATAGACCGCCGTTCTATAACCAACCCCATCACCTCCCATTTCTTATCCTTATGGGACAAACTGAAAGCCCGTTATCTCCTCCAATCGCCACATAATCCCATGCTCTCGTTTCTCCGAAACCCAGCTTTTCCCCCGGCCTGGCAGACACCCCTATTATTCAAAGCCTAGACCTCTGCTAACCTGCTCCGTACACATCATTTCCTACAGAGGAATAAGTTTAAATCCTTTGCCTCGCTGCGGGAAACGCATAGTCTTCCAGCTTCTGAGATATTCAGATACTTACAACTACAACATTTCTACGCCCCTTACGCAACAGTAACCAATCAACCAGATGCCATGTCTTTCTTTGAACGGGCATGTTGTAAAGACCCTCACAGGCATGGTCTTATTTCATGCCTATACTCACTCTTCACTACTTCGGTTACTACGCACCCCCCTCCCTACACCCATAGGTGGGAAAAGGATTTAGGTAAGGGACTCGACTCATCAGATTGGGACCACATTTGGGCCAATACAAAATCATCTTCGCAGAACATCATAGCATTAGAAACGAACTATAAAGTCTTAACTCGCTGGTACTTAGTCCCAGCGAGAATTGCAAAATTTACCCCTAGCTATTCACCCAACTGTTTCAGAGGCTGTGTGGACCCAGGAACACATTATCACATTTGGTGGGACTGCCCAGTAGCCCAAATCTTTTGGGCTGAAATTTTCACCATACTATCCACACTCAGTACTATCACTCTACGACCTGAACCAGCAACAGCCCTACTCAATCAACGCCCCCATGGCATCCCCAACTCACAATTCAAGCTCCTTATGCAAGTCACGACGGCGGCTAAGCAGGTTATAGCGAAATCCTGGAAATCCCCCACTCTAAATGTTGCGGCTGTCAAAACCAAATTAACACAAGCTATGATACATGCAAAGGTGGAAGCCACAATTCTTGACACGATCCCTAAATTCTTGTGCATATGGACTCCCTGGGTAGAGCGCTTCCTTCCACCTAACTTTGACGAATCACTCCTCCTTCCTTGATTTGTGTGCTATGCCCCATGGGTATTGTTAATAGCCTTCATACATAGCTCATAGGGGCTGTCGTACATTCGATAAAGTTCATGGAGTCATTGTTGCTATTCCTTCTCCCCTGCCCCCCTCCCCCTGTTTGATCCCCCTCTAAACTTCCCTCCCTCTTTAATGCCCTTGTGAGCCATTACCCTGATTGACCAACGATATAACGTTATCTGTCATAAATTCTTAACTACCTGTTTTTATTGGAAATATATAGACATTTGTACCGTGATCTTCACTTCTTCTGTTTTGCTATCACTACAATGTCCAATGTATAATGGTAATGTCTCCCAGTTTATGTTACTCTGATTTATTATTAATAAAAATTGTTTGAACAAGAAAAATGGACCCATTCCGACATCTGGGTTCCCTAACATTGAAAGTGATGTAAGCAGTTAGCAGAATACCCAACCCAAGCGGATTCTAGTCAATCTGCTAGTCAAAGTTAATAGAATTAACAGATAACAATGACCACAAAAAGATCCACAGCACCCAAAGATAGAAAACATCTTTTTATGGAGAGGTGCAAGTTCAAGAGGTCTACCACTCCTGAGACTATGTTCCTGACATGTGAGGAATCAGAGGTCCCAATGGGTGGGGAAACTCAAACAGAAGTGTGTGGATGCACCCTTAGGGAAAGAACACTGATGAGGAGGGGCAGCTAAACCGGAGAGGGCAATTTTAAAGTGGTTCTAAAAGCAAAATTTTTTTTTTTTTACTTTAATGCATTCTCTGCATTAAAGAAGTTGTAAAGGCTTAAATTTTTTTTCTTTTAAAAAACAAACATGGTATAGTTATCTGATCTCCTCTTGTAGGGTCCCCTGCCAGGGCTGTCCACCCCTTCTCTTCCTTGTCTGTCCCCTTTGCAATTCAGATAGGACTCGGGTAAGGATATTGTGTAAAAATGTAAACCAATTTTCATTACACAATGTTTGCTAACATCACAAATGGATCTGCTTTATGTCATAAAAAACTTGTACATATTAGAATATAGAGACTAACTGCAACTTATTTACCACAGTATCACATTTCTTACATAATATAGGTATACATGCCTTACTGCCTTTAATTAAAATAAAGTATTCTGTGGAAATAAGTCCTCATAGCTTCTTCAGGACACAGAGGAAAGTTGCAGTGGTAACTAAACCAGAAACAATGTGGCAATTGAGGGGCCAATATAACTACTGGGACATTTTTTACATTAATACAGGGAATACATTAGGGCATAAAAATGTTCTGCCTTTAGAACTACTTTAAGGTAAACTAGGGAACTTTATATGTAGCGATACCCTCGAAGGAGCCACTTGTAAGTTTTCCATGGTCTCCCCTTGCTTCGCAGCCAGGTACAGTATTTCGACACACACACACACACACACACACACTACTTCCGCTCGTCTTCAATTACCAGTCTAGGGGGATGTTTTGTTTTGTAGAACTGCGGTTAGGGATGGGGAATTGTAGTAGGATTCTCCAAAATCAGAACTATTCACACTGAGGACATCTAGCTGATCTCTTAGTTGAACACTTATGAAGTCTTGGCTGACTGTAGATAGCAGACTTCCTTGTAACATATAGCCGCAAGTAGTTTAGGAGTGACCAAAGTCCCTTTTTGCAGTAGTAGTAGTTACAGGGCTGAGCTCCTCAGGTATAAGCCAGTTATGGCAGACTGCGACAGCCCAAAGGTAACGTAGCTGAGCAAAGTCCTTTGCAGTAGCAACACTCAGACAAGCTCTTCAGAACAATAGCCAGTGTTTCCTTTCTCAGACCCACACTGACTATCAAGCACTGGAGGAGTAGCAAGCACAGAGTCCCCAAGATCTCGCAGTGTCTGTACTCACAAGTCCAAGGAGAGAATGGTTGCCTGCTTCCAATCTTCCAAGCGACTCTCTTCAGTGATACCAGACAAACCTTTGGCAGACAGCTCCCCTCAGTCAGCTTACTGACAAACCAGGGTCACTCTCTTAATTTCAGTCCCTCTGGTCGACCCACCTGAGGTCACATGGTAGACAGGGCAAGGCAAGGAAGACTACCTCCAGCCTGGCTGGTGCAATGCACTCCAGGCAAAGACACTGAACCCATGTGTTCTCAGAATATAAATACCACTCCCAGCATTCAATGGGGCAACCCTCTCCTACAATTGGCCAGGGCTGTATCCATATTCATGCTGTGCATGTTCTGGAAGGCTCTCATAGCTTCATGAAAGCAGGCAGAACTCATGAGCAGACCTAACTCATCAATCACAGCACTCTGTAAAGCAGAATACCACACTGAATGTACCCGACAGCCTCTCTGGTAAGCAGAGAAACACAGCTATGCTTAACCTAACTATACAAAGTCTAGCACCTACCTATATATAACGTGAAGACTATATACCAGAATCTTCTCGACATCTCATCTGCAAATAGGAAAATCACCTCCATTGTTTTAAATATGTTACCTTAGTAATAATAACTTCTTTGGTCTGTCCCAGTCGATGACATCGATCAAAGCATTGCTCCTCTGCAGCTGGATTCCATGCCTTAAATAGACAACAAACAATACGTAAAAACCTACATGAATGACCCCACTTAATACTTAACATTAAAAAAATACAAGTCCTGATTGCTTAATTATTGTCCTTTGCTGTGAAACCCATCAATTATCTCTGGTACAATTTCTTTAAAAAATACATCATTTAGTAGATGTGTGTAGGTTATGTCACATGGTGCATTCAGAATCTGGTGCAGCTGTGAATGGTAGCAAATCAGCTCAGCTGAAAAACCTGGAAGCTGATTGGTTTCTATGCAGATCTGCAACAGATTATGCACTCTCCACTTTTAGTAAATCTCCCCCTGGTCTCAAATAAATACACCTGTTTCTGAACGGTCCCAAGAAAAGAAAAAACTACAGTAACCAAAATTCTTCATAGGCTACAATTTAAAAACATTTACAGGTTAACAGTTTAGAGTTAGCCATGAATTATGGTCCCATCATTTACTGCTCTCAGTCTGACATTGGCAACAATACCTCACATGTGGTGCAAATGATGTTAACATACATACAGGTGAAACTCAGAAAATTAGAATATCGTGCAAAAGTTATTTATTTCAGTAATGCAACTTAAAAGGTGAAACTAATATATGAGATAGATTCATTACATGCAAAGCAAGATAGTACAAACCGTGATTTGTCATAATTGTGATGATTATGGCTTACAGCTCATGAAAACCCCAAATCCACAATCTCAGAAAATTAGAATATTGTGAAAAGGTGCAATATTCTAGGCTCAAAGTGTCCCACTCTAATCAGCTAATTAAGCCATAACACCTGCAAAGGGTTCCTGAGCCTTTAAATGGTCTCTCAGTCTGGTTCAGTAGGAATCACAATCATGGGAAAGACTGCTGACCTGACAGTTGTGCAGAAAACCATCATTGACACCCTCCATAAGGAGGGAAAGCCTCAAAAGGTAATTACAAAAGAAGTTGGATGTTTCCAAAGTGCTGTATCAAAGCACATTAACAGAAAGTTATGTGGAAGGGAAAAGTGTGGAAGAAAAAAGGTGCACAAGCAGCAGGGATGATGCAGCCTGGAGAGAATTGTCAGGAAAAGGCCATTCAAAAGTGTTGGGGACTGTCACAAGGAGTGGACTGAGGCTGGAGTCAGTGCATCAAGAGCCACCACACACAGACAGATCCTGGACATGGGCTTCAAATGTTGTATTCCTCTTGTCAAGCCGCTCCTGAACAAACAACGTCAGAAGCGTCTTACATGGGTAAAGAAAAACTGACCTCGTCTGTTGCTCAGTGGTCCAAAGTCCTCTTTTCTGATGAGAGCAACTTTTACATCTCATTTGGAAACCAAGGACCCAGAATATGGAGGAATAATGGAAAGGCACACACTGCAAGATGCTTGAAGTCCAGTGTGAAGTTTCACAGTCTGTGTTGATTTGGGGAGCCATGTCATCTGCTGGTGTTGGTCCACTGTGCTTCATTAAGTCCAGGGTCAACGCAGCCGTCTACCAGGAGATTTTGGAGCACTTCATGCTTCCTTCCGCAGACGAGCTTTATGGGGATGCTGACTTCATTTTCCAGCAGGACTTGGCACCTGCCCACACTGCCAAAAGCACCAAAACCTGGTTCAATGACCGTGGGATTACTGTGCTTGATTGGCTAGCAAACTCGCCTGACCTGAACCCCATAGGGAATCTATGGGGCATTGCCAAGAGAAAGATGAGAGACATGAGGCCGAACAATGCAGAAGAGCTGAAGGCCGCTATTGAAGCATCCTGGTCTTCCATAACACCTCAGCAGTGCCACAGGCTGATAGCTTCCATGCCACGCCGCATTGAGGCAGTAATTGCATTGTACAATCCTTGTTTTATTGATTGCATGTAATATTCTAATTTTCTGAGATTGTGGATTTGGGGTTTTCATGAGTTGTAAGCCATAATCATCACAAATATGACAAATCACGGCTTGAACTATCTTGCTTTGCATGTAATGAGTCTATCTCATATATTAGTTTCACCTTTTAAGTTGCATTACCGAAATAAATGAACTTTTGCACGATATTCAAATTTTTCGAGTTTCACCTGTATAAGAGTTTGCCCTATGCTGCACTTTTAATACGGGATGTGTAAAGGGATGATGTGGGAGTCCAAAGAATGTCCATGAATCGTTGGCAGGAACCCGGTGATTGCCATCCCCGACAGCCACTGACAGCTCAAGTTGGCGGAATGAGCGCCCTTCACTCGGAAAAATCATGCAAAATCATGTATATGTATGTCATTTTGCACAGAACAGCTGCCCTGTAGCTGTGCATCTGTTGTAGGGCTGTCGTAAAATGGATAAGGTAAGACTACAATTTTTTATGTTGAGGCAGTAAAAGTTTCCTTGAAGAGATGGGTTTTCAGGGATCGCCTGAAGGCAGACAAGGTAGCAAATACACCGTGTTCCAAATTATTATGCAAATTCTATTTAAGTGTCACAAAGATTAAATATTTCGTTTTTCAGTTTAACTCATGGATGGCATTGTGTGTCATTAGATATTTCACAAAAACTTAAGCATGATCATCACACTATTAAGAGATTTGTGGCTGATTCAGAGCACAAATAAAGGCACATTGAGGAAGATTTCTGCCAGATCCATGCATCAGATCAAGAGAGCAGCTGCTAAATACCATTACATAGCAGCAAACAAATATTTGAAGCTGCTGGTGCCTCTGGCGTCCCACAGACATCAAGGTGTAGAGTCCTCCAGGGTCCTGCAACTGTGCATAAACCTTTTCGGCCACCACTAACCAATGCTCACAAGCAGAAACGGCTGCATTGGGCAGAAAGATACATGAAGACTAATTTTCAAACAGTCCTGCTCACTGATGAGTGCCGGACAACCCTGGTTGGTCCAGATGGATAGAGTAGTGGATGGTTGGTGGACGGCCACCCTGTTCCAACAAGGCTGCGACGTCAGCAAGGCGGTGGTGGAGTCATGTTTTGGTCCAGAATCATGGGAACAGAGCTGGTCAGCCCCTTTAGGGGCCCCGAAGGTGTAAAGATGACCTCTGCAAAGTATGTGGAGTTTATGACTGACCACTTTCTTCCCTGGTACAGAAGGAAGAACTATGCTTTCCGTAATAAAATCATCTTCATGCATGACAATGCACCATCTCATGCTGCAAAGAATACCTCTGCATCAATGGCTGTTATGGGGATAAAAGGAGAGAAAGTCATGGTGTGGCCTCCATCCTCCCCTGACCTCAATCCTATTGAGAACCTTTGGAGCATCCTCAAGCAAAAGATCTATGAGGATGGGAGGCAGTTTACATCCAAACAGCAGCTCTGGGAGGCTATTCTGACATCTTGCAAACAAATTCAAGCAGAAACTGTCCAAAAACTCACAAGTTCAATGGATGCAATGACTTGTGAAGCTGCTATCAAATAAGGGGTCCTATGTTAAAATGTAACGTGACCTGTTAAAATGTTTAAAAAGTTAAAATGTTGTTAAAAGTTTGATTGAAATAGCTTTTGATTTCAGTAAATATGCTTCAAACACAACAAATGACAATTTTCAGTTCTTTACAACCTATAAAGTGTTTTGAAACTTACTGTGCGTAATAATTTGGAACAGTGCATTGTAAGTGTTTTATGTTTTAAAAAAATACTGTTATCATTAGGAGGTTTGTTCAATAAAATCTGAATTGTACTCTTAATAGTTGATAACATGAGAATTATGCTGACTGTTATTTACATCAAATATTTAGGTAAATGAGAAAAATATCATTTGCATAATAATTTGGAACACGGTATAGATGGACAGATTGGAGCAGGTAGTTCCAGAGGGTGGAAAAGACTCTGAAAAAGTTCTGGAGGTGAGCATGGAAGGAGCGGAGAGCGGTAGTTTGGGTGGTAATTTGAGATGAGGTTGGCAATATAGTGGGGGCAGACTTGTGGATGGCTTTGTATGATGTTTGAATTTTGGTTTTTATATGTTGGGGGTAACGGAAGCCAGTCAAGAGACTGTCAGAGAGAGAGGTGGCTACTGAATGACTGGCAAGGGGGATGAGTCTAGTGGCATTCATGATTGACTGAAGGAGGCATAGCCTGTGTAAAAATAGGCCAACAAACAGGGAGTTGCAACAGTCAAGGTGAGAGATGACCATGGAGTGAATTAATAGTTTTGCGGAGTTTGCTAAAAAAGGGCAAACTTTGGAATTCTTACAGAAATTAGGGCAGCAACATTTGGACAATGATTGGATCATCACTAAAGATAGGCTATCAGCGTGGGAAGTAGAGATCCTAGCGCTAGGAAGCTACACTATGGGATACAGTAATGCCATAAGAATTGAAGGACATTTGAAGGAGGAGCATGACTCAAAGGTCCATAGTCTAGAGTCAAAACATTCTCTCTATGAGCAGACTGTGAGAACTCGAGTCAGAAAAGATGACAATACGGACCTCAGGCACACTGAGAGATGGAGGTCTAGAAGAGTCAGAATGAGACCCTGCCAGGGATGGTACTGGAGCATATGTAATGTGGTAATAAACCCAAAACCAAAATGTAATATGTTGCAGCTTACCAATCATTAGATTTGGCGACTGCATTCATTTTCTTTTTTTTGTCTTTTTTCACCTGGTGATCTGGCCAGTAACAGATGATGGAACAGAAGGAGCACCTTTGGACAGCACCATTCTCAATCTTGGGGGAACATAGTGTTAGATGTACAAACAGAGCCAAAACTTTTTTTTCTTATGATAAAGGTTGTACAAAAATGAATAAAAACTGACCATTGTAGGCACCCCAATCAGAGGTGAATGGTTTTTCTCAACCCTCTAATTGCTACATCTGCAAGACAGCATGTTCCATGTTCTGTTGCAAAACAACAGGCTTTCTAGCAGAATCGCCAGGAGAAAAAATTTAAGAAAGAAAGCCTAAAGAATAAAATTTAATGCAGTCATCACATCTAAGAATTGGTAAGATGCAATATAATAAAGGTTTGCTTTTGAATTTAATACCGCTTTAAAGCCTTTGGAAGCAGAACGCTGCATTAATTGTGCCCAAACCAACAGAAAGCCTGAAATGGACAAAAGGGGGAGGTCAGGGATGCAACAGCTGAAGCTGACTACATTCATTATGTCCCTATTACAACAGTGTTCTTAGTCCCCCTCCACATCACAACCCCTCTTCACAGCAGTGTCCTCAATACCCCTTCACATTCCTGTCTTGGGATCCCCTTCATATCACCCCCCTATCACATTCCTGTCCTCACCCGTTTATAGCACCCCCTCAACAATGCAGTCCCCAACCCTCCTTCACATTCCAGTCCTTGCCCCCCTTTATATCACCTCTCTAATTCACACTGCAGTCCCCAGCCCCCCTTCATATCACCCCCACTTCACATTCCTGTCCTCACCCCCTTTACAGCACACTGTAATCTCCAGCCCCCTTCATTTCCACCCCATGCCTCTCCCCCACCCGTCCTTCATAGCAGGGACAGAGCCCTCTTCCCTGTCCTACCTTACACAGGGTTGAGGTCGGGAGGCAGGTCTAGAACTGATATCAGGAGGCAGGACAATTCTGGATGGAGGGGCGGAGTTGCATAACTTTTCCTGTTAACTAGCTTGTGATCAGTTGCTAGAACCACCCTGCATCCTAGAAACCAATCAGTTAACTGGGGCAGTTCTCACCCTCCATCCAGCGCTGCGCTGCTTTCCAATGTCAGCTCTGCAAACATGGCAGCAGCTGAGGAGAAGAACTGACAGCTCCTAAATGGTGCGACCGCAGCAGGTCCAGATGGGACAGTGAAGCAAAAGCAGCATAGCTGGCTGCTCACAGATAGGATGCCGGTGCCGGCAACCTGAAGGCTAGTGAAGAAGTAGCCCTGGCAAGGATGGTGCTGGATCCCCGGACAGGTAAGTCTCCTTTTATTTAAAGTCAGCAGCTACATGATTCAATTTCTTTTTTCCAGAGAAAACTTCTCTTTAAAGTCAATTTAGGACATATGTGCTTTACATCTAGAGCCGTGAGGAAACTAAGGTTAGAGCTGTTAACCACCTCCCGTCCAGCCATTGTATATAAACGGCCAGACGGTGGCAGTGCAGGGTTGGGTGGCCGTTTATAACGGCCTCCCCGCCCCCTGCTTGTGCGTGCTCCCTGGGAGCGTGCAGCACCGTGATTCGGTGCCCGCTGTGTCCTCTGGATACAGTGGAACACTAATCGTTGTACAGGACCTCTGTGCGAGGTCCCGATCATGTGATCACTGATTGGCCAATCAGTGATCACATGTAGAGTAGTAAGCAAGATGTCACTTCTGACATCATTGCTTACTATGTGTGAAATCTGTGAATGATCACAGAGGTCACATGGTATAAGGCTATTCACAACAGCCTTGTACCATGTGACAAGCTGTGACCAATCACAGCTCACACAGTAGTTCTCAATGGCTGCAAGAATGCAGCCAGAGAGAAGGAGAAATGATTGCTTGCACAGCCATTATGGGTGTAAAGGCAATCAGTCATTCAATTGTCATTCCAAGTGTGATAGCACTGAAAGCTGAAAATTGGCCTGGACAGGAAGGGGGTAAAAGTGTCCCGACTTGAAGTGGTTAATTAACATATGATGCATGAGGTTGTCCAAGGAAATTCCATAAGCTCTGGGGCCCTTGGCTGGATACCTAAGATACCAGTGATTCACTCCTCTCGTTGAGTTCTGAATCTGAGCCATAGAATACCTTTGTATTATGTATGATTACATTTTATATATAGGTTATGCTTTTGCTTTGTCATAGATATTAAAGTGATACTGTAGGCCTTTTGAATGAAAAACAAGATGTCTGCTTTCTGGGTTGAAGTACCTTATTCCAGTTCAGGTAAACACAAAGACATTACATAACCACTATAAATTGATTGCACAGATTTCTTTGGTTTGGTGCAATCCATTTTTACATTCACTTATGTATGGTATGTCCTTTATAAGGACCTGTATAGTGTTATTCTTGATAATTGCTTCTGAACTGTATCAACACCAGCAATTGCTTTGTGAATGTATATTTAATTTTTATGTACATTTTCAATAAAATGAGTTAAAAAAAAAAAAAAAAGGTTAGAGCTGTTCTGAAATGAGATAATATGGCCATTGTAAATGAATTTCCAGCTAGACTTGCTTTTTGCTGCACCAGTAAGGTAATTCCACAATATTTTTGTGGGATATGTCTGAGCATATAGTGCCATCATCGTATTACAATTTAACAAAAATAACCACCATTTTTTTAAATGAAATTACTTACAGGATCCATCAGAAACACACGGGATGCTGCTGTCAGATTCAGACCGACTCCTCCTGCTTTCAGTGACAGCAGCATAATGGTTGGAGAGTCGTAATGACTGCTTTGGAATGACTGGATTGCATCTGTTCGCTTTTTCTGGTTCATAGATCCATCCAGGCGTGTAAATGTGAAGCTGGACTCTCTACAAACAAAAATTAGGACAGTGTACCGTTTCCACGACAACAGACACTACATAGATAAAACACGTCTGACCTGGCATTAATCCGGTACTGCTTTGCATACAATCTAGGTTACATAACTACTAAAGGGGGAAGAGGAGGGAGGTCAAAAGGCTAAACATGGCTGGATGCATGAAACCATATTATACTCCTGAGCCACAGTTTGTAATAAACACTGTGCCTTTTATTAAAGTGGAATTTTAGTCAGAAAATTAAATACTGTTAGATCACTTCAGGTTGCCCACTTTTGCAGGTATAACTACAGAATGTAAAACATTAAAAATGTGTGCCTATACTGTTTAACATCCAGTAATGCACTGAATCACCCTGCTCTCCACATGCTCAGTTGCTCCTTATTCTCAGCACTGTGCCAAAAATCAAAGCCACTAGAGGTCGATCAGATGAGATTTATTGCTGAAGAAAGAAACAGGAATGACAGTCTGTGGGAAAGGAACACAGATTAGGGAGGGAGAAAAGACAAGCTGAAGTGACAGAACAAATTCTGCTGCCAGGGAGACACAAGAGTTAAACTTACAAGGAGTCTCAGCTTATCTCCCTGTTATTCTCTCCATTCTCCCTCATTGGCAGCCTGTGAACTTCATCACTGTAAAGCTTCTGTCAGCCTACCTCTAAACTCTTCTGGGAAGGCTGTCCACAAGGTTTAGGATTGTCTATGGGAATGTTTGACCATTCTTCCAGAAGAACATTTGTGAGGTCAGGCACAGATGTCAGACAAGAAGGCCTGGCTCGCAGTCTCCACTCTAATTCATCCCAAAAGTGTTCTATTGTGTTGAGGTCAGGACTCTGTGCAGGCCAGTCAAGTTCCTCCACCCCAAACCTGCTCATCCATGTCTTTATAGACCTTGCTTTGTGTACTGGTGCGCAGTCATGTTGGAAGAGGAAGGGGCCATCCCCAAACTGTTCCTACAGTTGCGTTCAAAATAATAGCAGTCAGACATCACTAACCTGATCAATCACAGTTTTTGGTAGAAATTATATTTCTACATGGCAAATAATTTACTAGCAGGTGTAGTAGAGTAATAGAAATCCAACAGACCCAACAGTCATGACATGCATGCTGCTGATTCTGTGTAATTGAATCACTAATTGAAAGGGGCATGTTCAAAATAATAGCAGTGTGGAGTTCTATTAGTGAGGTCATTCATTCCTTGAAAAACAGGTGGCAATTATTGCCCTTATTTAAGGAAGGAAGGCAGCAAAATGTTGTACATGCTGGCTACAGTGCATTTCTCTGTGAAATTCTGAGGAAAATGGGTCGTTCCAGACATTGTTCAGAAGAGAACAGCGTACCTTGATTAAAAAGTTGATTGGAGAGGGGAAAACATATAAAGAAATGCAGAAAATGATAGGCTGCTCAGCTAAAATGATCGCAAATGCTTTAAAATGGCAACCAAAACCTGAAAGACGTGTAAGAAAGCGAAAAACTACCATTCGAATGGATAGAAGAATAGCCAAAATGGCAAGGACTCAGCCAACAATCAGCTCCAGGAAGATCAAAGAAGGTCTAAAGTTACCTGTGAGTACTGTTACAATTAGACGCCTATGTGAAGCCAAGGTATCTGCAAGAAGCCCCCGCAAAGTCCCACTGTTGAAAAAAAGACGCGCTGAAGAGGTTACAATTTGCCAAAGAGCACATTGACTGGCCTAAAGAGAAATGGCGCAACATTTTGTGGACTGATGAAAGTAAGATGGTTCTTTTTTGGGTCTAGTGGCCGGAGACAGGTTGTCAGACGACCCCCAAACACTGAATTCAAGCCACAGTACACTGTGAAGACAGTGAAGCATGGTTACGCAAGCATCATGATATGGGGATGTTTCTCATACTACGGTGTTGGGCCTATTTATCGCATACCAGGGATCATGGATCAGTTTGAATACATCAGAATACTTGAAGAGGTCATGCTGCCTTATGCTGAAGAGGAAATGCCCTTGAAATGGGTGTTCCAACAAGACAACGACCCCAAACACACCAGTAAATGTGCAACATCTTGGTTCCAGACCAACAAGATTGACGTTATGGAGTGGCCAGCCCAATCCCCGGATCTTAATCCAATAGAAAACTTGTGGGGTGACATCAAAATGCAGTTTCTGAGGCAAAACCAAGAAATAGAGAAGAACTGTGGAATGTAGTCCAATCATCCTGGGCTGGAATACCTGTTCACAGGTGCCAGAAGTTGGTTGACTCCATGCACCACAGATGTACAGCAGTTCTCAGAAACAGTGCTTATACAACTAAATATTAATTAAGTGATTCAAAGGAAAGCAAAATCTTCAAACATTTTTCAGTTTATATAGTGAATGTTTGAGTTTGTAAAGAATACAAACACTGCTATATTTTTGAACAGTCTAATATTCACTTTTCTTCAATTTTTTTAGAGGGACAACACAAATGTGATATATTTTTCTTCATGTTTTGATTTGGAATAGAATGTGTAGTGTTCCCAATGCATTTGTGTGTATGGAAATAAAAGCTATTAGAAGGATTTTGAGCTTTATTCACTTTTTTCAACACACTGCTATTATTTTGAACACAACTGTACATACTAGGGAGCATGAAATTGTCCAAAATGTCTTGGTATGCTGACGCCTTAAGAGTTCCCTTCACTGGAACGAAGGGGCCAAGCCTAACCCTTGAAAAACAACCCTACACCATAATCTCCCCTCCACCAAACTTGACACTTAGCACAAGGCAGTCAAGTAAGTACCGTTCTCCTGGCAACCACAAAACCCAGACACGGCCATCAGATTGCCAGACAGAGAAGTGTGATCCGTCACTCCAGAGAACATGTCTCCATTGCTCTAGAGTCCAGTGGCAGCACGCTTTACACCACTGCATCCAACGCTTTGCATTGCACTTGGTGAAGTAAGGCTTGGATGCAGCTACTCAGCCATGGAAGCCCATTCCATTAAGCTATCTATGCACTCTTGTGTTAATCTGAAGGCCACATGAAGTTTGGAGGTCTTTAGCGATTTACTCTGCAGACAGTTGGCTATTTATGCGCACTGTATGCTCCAGCATGCGCTAACCCTGCTCTGTCATTTTATGTGGCCTACCACTTTGTGGCTGACTTGCTGTTGTTCCCAGTTGCTTCCACTTTGTTATCATAACACTAACAGTTGACCTTGGAATATTTAGTAGCAAGGAAATTTTACAGATGGACTTATTGTGAAGGTGGCAACCTATCACGGTACCAAGCTTGAATTCACTGAGCTCCTGAGTGCTAACCATTTTTTCACAAATGTTTGTAGAAGCAGTCTGCATACCTAGATGCTTTTTTTTCTTACACCTGTGGCCATGGAGGTGATAGAAATCCAATGATTTGCATGGGTGTCCCAAAATATTTGGAAATATAGTGTACCCCCCCCCCCCCCCACAATATCTACCTGAGCCCCATCTCAATCCAGCGATGTCCTCGACTGTCCTGGGTATCTCCCTCCTCATTGGCTGAGACAGCAGTGGGCTGCTATCTACTCCCACTACTGTCCATCACAGCCAGTGAACCAATGAGGAGAGAGAGGGGGCAGGCCGAGCCACGTGTGAATGGGCACACAGAGCAGCAGGTTGGGAGCCCTCATAGCAAGCCGCTCGCCATGGGGGCACTTGGCCAGGAGACCAGGGACCCGAAAAGAGGAGGATCAGGGCTGCTATGTGCAGGCAAGTATGACATGTTTGTTATTTTTTTTTAAAAATCTGCCTTTTCAATCACTTTAAGGGTCAATTCACAGAGTTGTGCTAAAATGCATGTACATTTCCATTCATTTTAGTCATGTTTAACGCACGCTGACCTTTGTTGACATACATTTTGCATTTTAGCGCAACACAACAGTATGGTGTGAACAGGACACATTGGAAAGTATTATAAGAAGCATGGAGGAGCTCAGCTATGAGGAAAGATTAGAGGAACTGAATTTATTCTCTCTTGAGAAGAGGAGATTAAGGGGGGATATGATCAACATGTATAAATACATCAGTGGTTCATATAGTGAACTCGGTGTAGAGCTATTCACCCTGAGATCATCACAGAGGACAAGGGGGCACTCTTTATGTCTGGAGGAAAAGAGATTTAACTCCCTCAAGAGTTGGTTCTGGCCAGCTCAGTGGATTGCTTAAAAAAAAAAAAAGGCCTGGATTGTTTCCTAGATACACAGAATATAACTGGATACTAACATTTATAGGTAAAGTTGATCCAGGGAATATCCAAGTGCCTCTCGGGGGATCAGGAAGGAATTTTTTTCCCAGCCAGAGCAAATTGGATCGTGCTTTGCTGGTTTTTTTTTTTGCCTTCCTCTGGATCAACTGTGGGTATAGGATTATAACTTAATTTTTTTTCTATGGTTGAACTGGACGGACTTTTGTCTTTTTTCAGCCAGACTAACTATTCACCACATCCTATGTCTGAAAGTCCTAAATGTCTTTATTTTGATCCCAAAAATCTGCATGGAATCCACCAGGACTGTGATTGATTTTGTCCATTAGGGAAAATTGGCTAGCCTTAAGGATGCCTACTTGCATACCCCCATCTTTCCAGCTCAACAATGTTACATTCGCTTTGTGGGGGGCACACAGCATTGCCAATTTATAGCTCTTTCATTTGGCCTGTTCACCAAGTATTATCACACATGCTAGTCTTGCTACATTCCTCAGAGATTAACATTGTGGGATACTTGGATGATATACTGAGAGAACAGGAGACACAGATACTGATCGACAATGCACACAGGTTTTTTACCTTCATGCATAGAATTCATGAAGGTAAAAAAACTGAGCGGTTATAAACACTTTAAAGAGGGCCTCAAACCTTTTGTCAGTACATTCTTTAAAGACCAGGACCTCATCCACTGGCATTGTTCGGGTCTTAGTCAAGTAGATAATGACTAGGTCGACAGCTGAAGAACCCCATTTTTAAAGAAAGTCCTCCTACATTGGGTAATACTGAGTGAA